AAGCTGGATTTGGACAAATTTCCAGCCTGGTGCAACTAATGCTCTCCCAAGACACAAATCTAGCAAGACAGAGGAGCCAATCTGGTTGCAATAAGACAACATTTCAACCGCCTGAATCGATACAATAAAGTAACTCTGTCTGGGGAACGATACCCTTTTAAGCTAAAGTTTCATAAAGACTCACTAGAAACTATGTCAGGTGTTTCCTCTTTAGGCTGAGGATTGAGTAATGCATATGCCTTGCGATCTGGCAATGGAAAGAGTTGGTCGGCAGGGTTTAAGGGATGGACGATGGGGTGCTTGGAGTGGGCGATTCAAAGTGGAGATCTAAATTATGTGACAGGATCAATGAAAGAGACAGTCCCACTGAAGCAAAAGAGAATATCGAAGCCGGTCTGAGGAAAGACTGAGCAAATGAGTGGAAAAATGAAAGAGCAAAATGTTTGCTGATCACGCATTTTGCATTTCTTTGGGGCATTTCTTGCAAGCAGTTGTTTGTGAACAAAAATGTTAAATAGCATAAAAACTGCTAGAAAGGCAGTTTGACAGTCTTTTCATTCACTAAAGAAACAACAGCAGGGTCACAGATCTTTCTAAAAGAAAATAACTGGGCTCTGTCCTATGTAACTCACTGGGGTCAATCTGAGCAATATCTAAAATATTAAAGGGGTCATATGATGCGATTTCAAGTTTTCCTTTCTCTTTGGAGTGTTACAAGCTCTTGGTGCATAAAGAAGATCTGTACAGTTGCAAAGACTAAAGTCTCAAATCCAAAGAGATATTCTTTATAAAAGACCTACAGTAATGTACAGTATTTGAAAAATAATGTGTTTTTTGAACATTAAAGCATGTCAACATATTCTGTTACACCAAATACACAAAATAATGATCTTTAAAATAGCATCATATGACCCCTTTAACAGTGTCTTTTGAGTGTGTGCTTGAGTCAGGGATAAAGAGAACACCAGAGAGACAGTAAAACACTGTAAATAGAAACACTTCTTTCTTCATAGCTCTGTTCTGCTTGATGAACTAAATCAGACCAATTTATCTCCTTGACTAAATCCTGGTCTTAATATCAGCCATGATGGCTGAACACAATTCTCTTACTCCCTCTGGTCGGTTTCACCCCTTCCCATTCGCTCATTTCCTGCCAGTGTAAACAGTACGAGGAATCCATTCGTTAGCTTGTGAGAAACCTACAACAATCTACCCCATCCTCCATTTACAAATCCACCATTAATCCTGCTTCCTGACTCTACATGTTGCTTCTTAAATCTTGACATCCAGCCCTCAGCAGAGTAATGAACATTGTGCTGGAATATGCAGCATGCATGTATCTGCATATCAGAGATAGTATTTTAATAAAGCATATAGTATTTGCTATTGCTAAAACTACACTGCAAAAATCATTATTCCAGTGTTAACCAGTATTTTTCTTATTTCCTGTAAACATATCTAAACAAACAATATGTATTACAAGATACATACTGAATTAAGTCCTTTTTTCTGTTTACTTTAAAGCAACAAACTTAAATTGTGTATAAACAAATCCTATTTTTTATGCAATTTTGCAGGAAGTAAATTTATGTTGCTTTAGGAATGTTTATAGATATTTTTACTAGGGAAAAATACATACATTTTTACAGCATCCTCCTAAACAAACTTTATCAGCTTCATGTTTGCTTTATGAATGCACATAATGGTTGGGAATTGAATCAACATTCCAACCCAAAAAGGCAGATTATTTTGCTCCTCATGCATAGGATGGTCTAACACAAATCCTTTTACTCATGAAGAGAAATTCAGACTTCAAGTAAAACCATAAAACAAGTTACTAAACCTATGATTTCACAAACACAGCATAAGAAACAACTGTCATTATTTGTTAAATGGTGACAATCATCTAAAAAGGATATTTCTTAATTAGACTTAAATTATGATTGAGGGTATTTTTGTTTAAATCGACTGTAGTTCTACATTGTATCATCCGTACATAATAAAGCTCAACATCCTACTTATGATAAATACAGTATTTTGCAGTATCCATTTTTCCTTCGCAAATCCATCTATAATTTCCGAAAGATGTTTTTGCCTTATGCTAACAATAGCTGCGGGAATAGGATTTAAAAAAAATTTTTTGCATTACTTTAACAGCGGTTGGGGTAATGAGATGTTCTAAATTTTTCAGGACTATTCTAACAAGGGTTTATAGTCTTTGAGTAAATGTGCTTGACATCAACCCCCATTCCCACTGATGTACATTTACAAAAGATTTGCAAATCTTCTTTATCTACTTAATTCTAATGAAGCACATACATGGTACATGGACTGAATGAAAGTGACTCTTGATTCCATTTGCGATATTCATGAAATACAGATAATAGAAAAAGGACCTTGAGAGCTAAACACTCCTGGCTGTTTGGATGTTTGATGCATGTGAATTACAGCGTTTGTGCAAGAAAACAGTGATATTTAAAGCACTCTCCTGCAGGACTGTCTAAGTCTCTCTTGACACAGAAATAACCAAGCAGTGTGAGTGAGGGTCCCAAAAGCAATTTCATTCTTCCAAAGCGAGATAGTTGTATAGACCATGTCATATCAATGCATATGAATCCCTATTTTTCATAGAAATGCCTATGTTTGATAAATCGTTCCATGTGAGTGCATACAGTTCAAATAAACATTTTTCATATAAATAGTCATCATTTCACATTGAAAAACTGAAAGGTTTTGAGCACGCCTGAAAGCTGAAGAAGACCGGAAGGTTGACGTAACACAGACGCAACATTAAGGTTGTTGCCTGCGGACATTATTAGGATTAGAGGAGGGCTTGAGGCATGAAGCGCTCTGGCCCACAAAGCCAGCTCACCACATTACATGCTCGCTAGGTCTGACCACTCGCAAATCCGTAGCTTTACTTTCTTCTTTTAATTAAACCACTGAGAGCTAAATTAATTTCTCCATATTTTTCAAGCTGATTAAAATGAAGCGTGGAAAGTGTAGACATACTGTATGTCAGAATGGGATGCTAAGCCATTGCATGTGTACGTATTGCGTGTACAAATCTCACACTAGTATTTTTAAGGCTTTCTATGATGTAAGGTCATGTCATGCAAAAGAGATTGGGAAAATGTGTAATAGAGCTGTATGTGTGTCAGTCTCCTCTGTAAAATATGCAGGTATGGAAACAGGTATGTGCATGTACGTGTAATAAGAGTGGTAGAGTGCTCTCAATCGGTTCTAAGGTGAATGGACAACACATAAATTATACAATAGGCAAATGTACAATTTCATTTTTTAAATGCCCCCTTTGGAAGATGTCAGGCTGGTATTTATAATATGTTCATTGCTCTGCATTTTTAATTTCCCTGCGGGAAGGAAAAATCATCCATATCACAAGCAGCGATTAGAATACAACTCACATCTGCAACCACATCTCAGATATCATTAGGAGCTTCCACATGGCAGCTGCTCTCTTGATTTGGATCTAAATCAACCCATACATACTAAAACACTAAGCTTTATAAATCACTGCTAAGCATCCAGTAGTGCCCTAGCTAACTGTTACGCAATCTTACCGTATGGTATTGTTAACTCACATTATTGTCAGGGCTGACGCTACATGTTATTCATACAAAAACTTTTTCCACTACTTTCTTCCCATCCGTCTCTGCCATTTTTAGGTCTATCTTGCCTTTAGGGGGAAATAAATGTATATAAATGTGATCACCAGTTTTCAGTCCATTAATTTGTTAAAATATAGTTCTGGTCAAAAAATAAATATAATAAAATGAAATGAAATGAAATAAATGTACTGTATTTGATTAAAAAAAACAAAAAAACTAATGGAACCAATGTACTACAAATGGCATTTTACTCATATAAGAGCTTGGAATTCTTCATAGCCTTATAAAATTAGTCCTTGTTTGAAAGATGTTAAGACTTGTTTTCATTATATTGCTACTGATCTCTGCCTTACTGGTCACTGTTTTATTGTCAACATATATTTTCCTGTTCCAATGAATACAAAAAGGTGCAATTATCTCTGACAACTCAATCCAGCTATCAAACATGTTGAGAAAACAACGTTGCACATGCATTTGAAGAACTCAGTTAGCATAGTGGAATTAACATGATTAGAAGATCTGGCTCATTAAATTTTAACTGGAAGTGATGCATGACAACACTGCCCAGCTTTGCACTTAAACATACATAGTTTACATAAAGAAACATCACTGCTAATTAGACCAACATATTCTAGCGTAGGCAGATAAACAACTTCCTGCTTGAGAACAAAACCTGAAAGAGAGGAAGTTTTGTTCAAAATATTCAACATGAGACATGGATCGCCTGCTTTGTTCAATTACAACCACGGCTGAAAAAACTGGCGTTAGAACGTTTGTTATTAACTCACGGCTGCCAGGTTTACGTTTATTCTGAGAAAAAAATTCCCCATCTAAGAATTATCACAAGCTCCCTGCTTCCCCCAAACCCATCCAATCCCAGTCACTCGGTATTGTTATTCGGGAAAGACAATCAATATCCATGCCAGGACTGGATAATTGAATAACACAGAAAAAGAAAGGCTCTTTCAGCCTCATATTTGTGCAAAAGCTCAGAAGCGAAAAGATTAGTCTTACAAAGAGTGGTTTGGATCCATGTGGAAGTTCACTTGATCATGTCTCTTTTTACACTTTCAAAGAGGCACATGAAAGTGATATGAAGACGAGGCATCTATGCATCTAAGTGCATGTGGACTGTGAGCTTCAGACAGTTTCGTCAGGCAACAGTTCTCATCCTAATGTAATGTTTAGACACTGTGTTTGGTTGTTTCCTCAAAGAGCTTGCATATGTTCAGGAACCTGCTGCAGATTACAGACTCCTAAAGGAAGCCTGTTGTAAACATCTCACTGCTGTTGCGTTCACTTTCTCTCCATATGTGAAGTGAAATAAAGTCATTCGAAAAAACTCTCAAAGGAAAACCTGTACTTTCTCACCTGTATCCACTCTGCGTGTCCACACAGACTCCTCCATTGTGGCAGGGGTTTCTGGGATAGACAGAGCAGCTCTGGTGGAGGTGTTCACGTGCCGAGCAACTGCAGACAGCTGTGGCTTCCACAGTCACTGACACCAGAGCCATGCTGCCTGAGTCGACCACCGCCGGCTTGTCAGTCACGCTCAGATGGCTGGTGCAGCCCCCTCCTCCCCGACAGTCTGCATCCACACACTCATCTACATGAACCTGGGTCACGTTCACTTGAAGAAAAGACTGGAGCTGGATGGGGAAGGGAAATGGAAAGAGAGAGAAAGAAAGAAAGAAAGTCCATCACTTGTGAAATGCCGCCATAATGATTAAAGAAAAATAATAGAACAAACTAATAGACAGTAAAGAACACATGTGGACAGCTTCATTATTTTGAGTCATTTTGACCCAGAACCAGATTTTGAGTTTTATGCACTGAGTGAAATAATTATATCTCTACTCAAAACTGCTGTTAAGAAATGATAACGTAAGGTCAGCTTGTTCACAAGCTGTTTCGTTCACGTCTTTCCATGGTTGAAACACTGATTGGGTGATTATGTAAGAGACGATTCATTTCAGTAAGTATCTTTGAAAATTCATGCTTATTTTTTGCTATAACTAGTAATTAAAGATGATCGGATCTGTCACACCACATTAACCCTCTGGGGTTGAAGACCGCACCGGTGCGGTTTGTCACGTTTTTTCTTGATGACCGCGAAAAGAACTAAAAATACTCTGTCATTTTGATCAGATGACAGATACATATAAGAGTAAGGCATTGTTTAAAACTGCAAAGGGTCTACTTTTATTTGTGCAGTAACACACGGAGAGACACAGCAAAAGAGAGAAAGAGAGCACACAGCAGCACGTAGCAACCAACAATATTATATAAATAAACACGGAACGTAACAATAGTCATAATTTACAACAAAACAATATGCTTTTGTAAAATAACGAAAACAGGGTGCGCTTTCTGCCATCTTGGTCAACTTTCCTCACGTAAATAAAACAACCTGAATCTCAGTGAATACTTTCCTCACAGACATGATAAATATGTGTATATAAAGCTTGAAATGTACTTTTAAATGAAGTAAGCCAAGAAAACATATATTCAATGATAAAGTAATCCATATGAAACCAACGTGAGGTACAGGTCTGAGCTCATTATCTGTAATGTGACCACGCCCATAAGCAAGCACACTATTCAAACTATAATCACCCACGTGACATGTGTGAACATGTAAATGCCCACATCTCCTCTGTAAACAAAGCGTGACGATTCAAGTTTATCTAGGCTACTTTTCATTTCTGGAAGAAGACGCACTGAGAGGAATAAGCCATCATTTACCTTAGAAGAAGGCGATGCACAAGCCAGCGGAGGAGATCATTTCTAATGAGTAAGGTATTTTATATTACTTGTATTAGTTGTTATTGTGACATAACTTGTACACATTTTACTAGTTAGACTTTTCCTAAACTATAATTCCTGACTACATGTATGAAATAAATTGAAACATTTTGAAATAAGTGTCATTTCTTTCCATCTAAATGTCTCACGATGCCGGGATGTTTTTTGATGTTCTATAAAATATAAAACAATACGATATAAAAGTAATATGAGTGTTTACATTGTAACACTATGTGAATGTTAGAGTCTAAGAATGTTTAGACCAATGTTTACTGTGATAATGTATTCACAGATATGTGTTTATAATGTGCATAACAATAATAATTTATTTTCCCATAAATTAAATGTTTTTGTATTGTATAATACATGCAATACATACATACACATGTTTGTGTTTATTGGGGGGGGGGATACCTTGAAGGGGGATACCTTGAAGACTTCATTTCAAACTGTTTTTTTTTCCCTGAGAGTGCTGTACCAACATCACATGTTGTTCAACTGGGCTGATGTTCTACATGAATATGGTTTACTTGTTTCAACATTTGAACAGGATCTTTTCAGCAATGGCACAAAGGTGTGTGACTGTTCACATCGCTGTGTTTAGATCAGTGTGCTCAATAATGTGTCTTTGACCTTCACTGTGTATATTTTGATTATACTGTGTTGTAAATAAAATACAGAGAATCAAGTTCTCAAAAGTCTTGTGAACAAATGTTCTGTATGTGTTTCAGTGACTTAAAAATGTTAGGTTTTCACTAACCACGCATAAACGTTGTTTTCTCAAAAACACAAAACATGTACATTCATGCTGCTCACATATTATTGTAGCCCAGTTTGTGCTGAATACAATGTAACCAGACGTTAGCCATTACTATGTTTTTAAGATACTGAAAAAAGCACAGGGCTTGTCAAAACTTCTCCAGGGCCCGGAAACACCCTCAGACACCAGAGGGTTAAAAGGGTTTACCCAAAAATGATAATTCATAATTTACTCACACTCATGTTGTTCCAAACCCAAACCAGACTTTAGTGAGCTTCAAAACACAATTAAGATGTTTCTGTCCCTCCATTTGAACGTCCAGGTAACTGAAACTTAAATCGAGTGGAGTAGTCCAAGTCTTGAGAAGAGATACAATTACTTTATAAGATGAACAAATTTAATATAGGTTTTTATTTACATCGAAGAAATGGATTCCTTTTACAATACCTTTATAACCTTTTTGGATCTTTTAAGTTTTACAGTTTTGGTACGACATGAGTGTGAGTAGATGACAGAAGGACTTCAAAATTACATTTATTATTTCAGTTTTGTAATTATCGGTGTGGCAATTGTGCACAGTGTAACAACAATTCATTTAAAACTGCTGTTTTTTGTCATCCAAGAACAGGTCGAAAATATAAAATTAAATATATAGTTGGGTTCCAGGGATATAGATATAGTTGGGTTCCAATTCCCAGGGAACACACATACTGGTAAAAAATTAATAGCCTGAATGCACTATAACTGTAAGTCGCTTTGGATAAAAGTGTCTGCTAAATGCATAAATTATTATTAAAATTATTAATTAAATTATAAAATTAACTCTTATTACATGTGCTTCAATCCATGTTGTGTACATTATTCGATGTCCATGTGGTCTGTGTTATGTGGGAAAAACATCTCGACAATTGAAACAAAGGATCAGTGAACATAAGAGTTCTATTAGGAGAAAAGATATTACTTATCCAGTTGCTGCACATTTCCGTTCTTTTAATCATGATGTGTCCTCCCTACGTTTCTTGGGAATTGAAAAGGTGTCCGTTCCATCAAGAGGTGGTGACATTGATGCCCTTTTATTAAGAAGTGAATCGTTTTGGATTGTGACTTTGCAAACTTCATCACCCTTGGGGTTAAATGATGAAGCATCATTTAATGCAATGTTGTAAAGTGTCTTTATTGTGTATCTGAGTGTCTGTTTGATCAAGAGGGGATGATATTGTAACCCTGTTAAGATGTGAATTGTCTGATATTGTGATTTTACAAACGTGATCATCTTTGTGTTTAAATAATGGAACATCATTTATTAGTAATGTTGTAAAGTGTTTTCTATTGGATATTTGAGCCCTCGTTATTTATGACATATGAGTTGGTGATTGGTACACATGTAGTATCGATGACATTCATTGGTTGGGTGTTTTTAAAAAATGTCTTGTCTTTAATAGTATGCATATGCCTGATGAAGGTCAGTGGACCGAAACGTTTCTTGTGCTTGTGACGATAAACTTCAATATTTAGCAAGTACTGATAGTGTGCTGGATTGCATCGTTTTATATTCAGTTTTGTTGTAAGTTGAGACTTACCAAAATATCAAAACACAAAAGTGTTTTCCCTTCCTTATAATTGTGTTTCTTAGCAAGTGGCTCATTGTGACTTCCATGCTCGTCCAGTCTGGAGCTGGTCTAGTTGGTCAATAAACCAGCAAGGTCTTCCTTGTGAAGCTCATTGACCAATGAAGCCTTGCTGGTTAACATAGACTTCTAGGCCAGGAACACAGCAGCACTCATACGCTGGTGTCCATCTATGCCAATCTTTTCAGCTGAGCTACCCTCAAATTAGCATACAAATAGCAAAACAAGTCCAACCAAGTTAACCAAAAAGACCCCAAACCCACATAAACAGCGTTCAGCAACACTGGTGCACGCTCACTCTATTTCATTCTTGGACACAATACGCACTCCAGAGCCTCTCTGGTCCTGTGCTTTTCCACAAGCACATAAACGGCATGCAGATACCTCACGTCCACAGGGCTGCCTCTCAACTTTCACACCATTTATTCAAATGCAACATCTGAAGTATAGCAGGTTGCTCCTCAGTGGACTGAGTAGTCAAACTCAAACAGTGATTGGCCTGTCCTACACTAACTCAAGCGAACAGCACACTTAAGGGAAAATGAAGGGGTGAAGAAACAAGAGATATCGAGAGATACAGACAGAGAGAAAATAGAGACTGATGTTCAAGGTGATAACTACTCCAAGATTAGCTGGGACCTATTTGCCGGGACATTATTCTGACTTGGGGGTGGTTCATTGAGAGGTATTTTCTACACAGCAGCTGTGGCAGAGTGATTGATGATGCTGTTTATGTTGTGATCAGAAGGGGAAACTCTGAGGGAGCACAGGGATATGGTGCAATGCACACAGCAGGGCTGGACAGGCAAATGTCACAATGTGTTATGTTGGGGTGAGAACAGAAACAGTGGGAGCAGCATTAGGTCTCAGAAAGGGTTTTTAAATATTTAAATATTTAAAAAGGAGAAATAAAGTGTACATGGGGAATATGTGTGAGAACTGAAAGGGCACAATAATGAGACGCTCACTGACTTCCCTGAGTGCCCTGCAGACAATGGGAACAGCAGGAGTTCTGCAAGCTGGCACTTGGGGTTTCACAATATACCTGTATTGATGATAACTGTGGTATTTAAAATATAAAATATTGATATGTTAATACTACACATGATACAATAATATCATAAATAATTCAGTGACAGCAAGCAGTAATCAAGTTGACACTCCAACAGAGGTGGTGGCAGATTTGCACCTTAACACAGGTTGCCACCTGTCATAAAATGGAAAAAAAAGATGACAGCAACACAGAGTGTAGCTACTACGCTACAAAATCATGTTGAAAAAGATGACACACAATTCTTAAAAGTTACAGGTAGAATGCAAGCATGAGAGTTTTTTTTTTTTTTTTTGGTAAAAGACTGCAGGGAGTGCTGACAAACAGTAAGTTATTTTTGTACAGTTATGGTTACTATGGTTACAACTGCTGCCCTAATTTTTCCTCAATTTTTATAAAGTAGAA